ATTATTTACAATGATGTCTTTCCGCTCATAATATACCATTTTTATCTGTATAATATATATATGAGCGATATCTAGTAATATCTGCGTGTGATCCGCACACTCAGTGGTTATTACACACAGTAGTTTTTCCAATAATATCTAAAGAGCGAGTATTCCGCTGCTAAAAGTTATTACAGATACAATAATATTCGCCTCGATCATTACAGAGCCGCCATATTAATCACACGGCCGCATGTAATAATCACACAGCCGGCAGTAGTTCTTTTTCGTAAGAGTAGTCTCGCTGCTTCTTTGATTTCCTCACAAAATATGTCGCAGTTTTCTTGTCTAATTGTCTGCGTCCAAGATATGTTCTCCACTACCTTTATTCTACTTTCGAGTATTTCTTGATACTCTTCCCAGTTTGTCTTTTTACTTGTGATTCTATTGGATCGTTTTCTATATTGTTGTGGTGCCATTCCAATAGTAATTTCTATCGGATAGTGGTCTGATCCCCATGTATCACAGATTTTTTTATATTCTATTAGGTGTGCTACTGTGTTTCTTGCCCACACTAAGTCTATATTCGAGTTTCTTTGACCAATATCTCCTAGTCTTGTTATCGTATCTATATTTATAATTACCATATTTTCATCCTCCATTTCTGTCAGCAGTGTTTCCCCTTCAACATCTTCTATATCACAGTTCCATACTGGGTGATGTGCGTTGAAATCTTCCATGATAATGACGTTATCTTCTTGTTGTACTTTCCTCAATAATTTTGTCCACATTCTTTTTTTAAAAGGAACGTTATGTCGTCTATATATTCCTATTATTGTAGTGTTTGTTTGTTCAGCTATATTTTCTATTGTTATAGCTAATGTTTCGATTCCTTTGTCTATATTCTCTATATCCTTTCTTCGTTTAAATTTTAAGTTTTTTCTTACAATAATCATTATCCCTTCTCCTTTTTTCCCTTCCCGTCTTACTTGATTAACTACATGAAAGTTTTTCAAATTTACTTTATCCG